TTTGATATCAAAAAAGTTCTCTTCTACAATTTTTTGATGAAAAGGCACAGCGGCAATGATGTTTTTTGTCATTAACAGATAGTTACAGGTGGATAGCTTTTGTCAATAATAACAATAATTTGTCAAACTGTGACTTACTTTGAATTTCCCTACACGAATTTGCGGATATGCGATTAGTTCAGAGGAAATGCTACAGTAACATGGCAGAAGCTGAAAGAACTCACGCCAACAAAGGTTCAGTTCAGTGAAAAACAAAAAGTTCCAGGAAGATAGTGGACGATAAATGTTCGGGTTCCAAGCACACAGGAACACGTATTGGACATAACCGAATCAGTGCCTTCCAGGGGCACTCAGAGCACAAAAACTGACACTTTCCGAAGCATCAAATAAATACCGAGGAAGGGCTACGTTCCTACCACGTTTGCACGATACACACAGCATAAGGAGATACAAACGGAGCAGGAGTTAATTAACTGAATACGAGAAGCTGCTTGATAAGAGTGGATAATAAAGAGGTTACACAGGCACTAGCTGGTTTGGAGTTAACCATTCAAATGTTTGGTGTTGTATGGTTTATTTTTAAACACCAATATTCGAGGTTATGAGAACAGGTTGACATTTCGTCAACAAATCTTGTTGAATTTACCGTTTATCCTTGTCTATCTTATTGTCAGTCCAGTCAGTATAATTCCATGGTTACCGGAGTTTTAAATAATTACAAAGCAACAGGTATTTGCGCAATGTTAATTAGGCAGATTACCTTGAAAAACATTGCTGCCGTATTTCTGATATAGGTTTTTTGCAAATTTCTCAGTTTTTAACAACAATTAGTTTATTTTACTATTTTTTCTGTACTCCTATAACAGCGCCAGATAACACCTCCAGAGGAATGACGCCAATTTTGAATCACCCTGCATAAAATTTAAGATATTGATTATAAAATATGTTTCATACATTTCTCAATTCACCTCCGAAATAAATATCCACAACGCAAATTGTTTAGACGTAATGAAGCTTTTTTGCTCTGAATTGTGTAATAGGGTAGAAAAATTACCAGAAGTTGCTGATTTTAGAAACGATGCGTGAAACACCAGGAGTAAAAGTGATTTAAAAAAAATTAAACGAGTTTCTTTGCAAAACGCGAATCAAACATTTTTGAATTTGCAAAATACATTTGTACCTACTTTATTTACGCATAATGACTGACCACCATAACACTAGTGAAGGTTAACTAATTAACAGCATACTGCTAAGAACCTAAGGCAAAGGAAGCGTTAAGTGATATTAAGTGAATTGCAACATTAACAAAACATTAGGATAAAGTAGATATTATGTAAAAAAGTTTGCTCAATTTGTTACCGCTTGAGCATTTTGTTCTTCGCCTATCCGCCCTATCCTAATGTAGCAATTATACAGAGTGTCGCTGAAATAGCTGTTCAGTCGCGTGAGCACAAATTCCTTAAACAGGATACGGCTTGTTCAACTATGTACTCTAAAATATTGTAATTCAAAACTCGACAATTTTTTTCCAATTGAGGTCGGCAACGCACTTGAGGTGGAGATTATCCGCTCTTGCAAATCATTAAGCACTTTAAGGGTTTCTCTAGCGAATCTTAATTTCGCGTTAAATTATTCCCCTTCAAATTATGCCATTGTTTATGAGTGAATGCAAATTTTCCAATGGTATACTGCCTATTCTCTTTTCTCAAATAGTATCAAATCTGCTTGTTCCGGGTATCTTCGAAAAATCAGAGATTACAAGCACACGTTTAAAGATACTGTAAGCGTGAGTTGCATATCAGCTCATGAGGCAATGCACGAGCCGTTCTTGAAGATAACCAGTCCTTGAGGATTAATTATATCGATAACTGTACAAGTGCAAGCTTGTGCACGAATGTGTTCCGCGAAATTCACTTTTCAAGATTACATAAAGTGTGTACAGGGCAATTGCATATTGGCGTGATTCCGCTGAACGGTTAAGCTGAAAGATAAAACAGTGTTTTGAAATATTTTTAAGATAGTAGTTGAAGATATTGTACAAGATAGTATATGATCTCGGTAGCCGTTTGACAACGAAACAGGCCCGAATTTGCAGACACATACGAAATTTATTTGATTGACTCAGAAAGCGAAATTTCAATATCAGACAGTTAGGTGCAAGATTATGCCAAAATTTCATGTTTTCCGTCTCGTTTTTGCTCATTTCTCGGAAGCAAAATGAGCAAAAAGACTCACTTTTACATCATTCCAGAGAAAACTAAATGACCTTTTTAGAAAGTGAACCATCGATAAGGGAATGTTGGCAGTTTTCTCAAAAAATGGTTGAATTCGAGAAGTTTTAGATTTGCGTGGGTTTTTCTGATTTGCAAAATCCACTTGAACATGACGCTGCTTTTTTCGAAGTTTCTCAAGAACCATTCGAGCCTCAGAATTCGTTTTGGCATCGTTCGATAGAGAATTGAAAACTCGATTGAGTCGTAACAACGTTAGTGAGGAAATTCGAGTAGTTTTAACCCAGAAAGTGAAATTTGAATATCAGACACTTAGGTGCAAGATTATGCCAAAATTACATGTTTTCCGTCCCGTTTTAGCTCATTTCTCGGACGCAAAAAGAGCAAAAACGCTAATTTTTACATCATTCCAGAGAGAACTAAATGGTCTTTTTAGAAAGTGAACTATCGATAAGAAAATATTGGCGGATTTCTCAAATAACTCTCTCTCAACATAATTGAAAATTCGATTCAGCAACATGGGTGAATAAATTCGAGTAGTTTTCATCCTGAAAGCAAAATTTGAATATCAGACACTTAGGTGCAAGATTATGCCACAATTTCAGGTTTTGCGTCCTGTTTTTGCTCATTTCTCGGACGCAAAATGAGCGAAAACGCTCTATTTTACATAATTCCTGAGAGAACTAAATGACCTTTTTAGAAAGTGAACCATCGATAAGGGAATGTTGGCAGTTTTCTCAAAAAAGCCTTGGTTTCAAAAAGTTTTACAATTGCGTGTGTTTTTTTGGCGACTCAAACATGACGCCGCCTTTTTCAAACTTTCTCAAGCCCCATTTGAGCCACATAATTCGTTTTGACACTGTTGGAGAAATAATTGAAAATTCGATTCAGTCATAAAAAAATGAGTGAAAAAATTCGAGTAGTTTTGATCAGAAAGTGATTACGATTTTAAATCACCCTCTTAGTAGTTTAATATTTGAGAATCAGAATTAACTTGTGTGAAATCAGAAATAATTTGTGTTCTCTTTGTCTTAATCATGGTCATTGTTGGTGCTTGAGAAAAAATAATGGGATTTGTCAAAGTTAGGAAATTCAGTAGATTTTTATCGAAGTCGTTTTGTACCAGTGTACCAAATGATTACCATAGAAAACATATAATTTGGCTAATTAAAGATTTAAAGCGTCTGATGATGCAAATTACCAATTTAAAGCAATGTGCATCGTGATTAATTGCGCTACTACATTGAATGCTTATTACCGGCAATAATTAAAATTTCCATGTATTTCAAAGTCAATACTACTGTGCGAAGATCAATTTTTCCATGGCAACATGTTTGACTAAAAACCCTATAATTATTTACAGTTTGACTTACTCAAGTGTACATTTATTGTGGTACATTCTGTGCGCTGGACGCTCGTCTGTTCTCGTGCATGCAGTAAAGGTAAGCATAATTACTTTTACTAAAGTTGCAGATATTCACGTCTGGTTTATTTTAAGATAATAACAATTGATACAGGGTGTCTCAAACTGTACCTGTAGTGACTAAACTTACATTTTTTTTAAATGGAATGCCGTACTCTGTATTGCATATTCGAGCTATTCGTAAAATTCTAAGCCCATTCGATATAAATGTTCAATATTGATTTTCAACTGTTTCTGAGTTAATAGCCAATATTGTAATAATACCTACCCGTAAAGTAAAGAGTAACAAGCTAAAACAATTTGGTTACTTTGAGAAATTTGGTTACTTCAGCCATTCCTTATTCCACATTAGGGAACTTCCACTTATGATGTGAGTTTCCATGTTCCGTTCACTATGTATCCAAGTTTTGAAGACTATGACGAGTTCTATTTATATGAGTTCCATTTATTTATCGACTGCGTTAGTTATGTGAATTTTTCCCATTCAATCTGACAAATAAGTCCAAACAGCAAATTATTAATAATTGAAAGAGATATACTTTCGAGGCCATTGCTTGAAACGAAAAACCCATTAGTATTAATAATTGGTTTACTCAAATTTGCAATCGGAAAAAAAGTTATGATAAAATAAAATAGAAATATTAAATAACATTCGCTCTTTGGTGATATTTGTCAGATGCAAACTATGAAATTTATCTTTCGTTTGGTTTATTGTGAAAATAACTCTATTCAAAAACACTTAATGCAATATTAGCCTTGCTCTAAAATAGTCGAACTGAAATCACGAGTTAGATATTTAAAGGGTATTAACTAATAGGTTAATAAAATTTATAATTAGAGAATTGTATGTGACATGCGTTCCGCAAAAGGTAAGAAGATTCTACCTACCTACTCGAATTCTAATAGCTTAAAACTATTCAAAATTGCATTCTTAAGAGCGTTTCTTATTATCCAATTAGGTATCATAACGGTTAATATTAATTAACTTTTTTGTTAATCATTTATTTTACAACATACTGCAGGTATTTACATTTAAAAGGCAAAGGTCCCAGTTTAAGCGTAAAATCGATGGCACATCTTCGACCGACACTAACGGTGAAAGTGAGCATTGGCGAGTAGAAGAAACCGTGTCATTGTCCATTTGATTAAAGAATTGCATAGATTTAACTAGCAGTTAAGCAGTAGCTTGAATAATGCAGTGTGTTGACTGATAAATTTACCAACTATCAATCACAGCTGTTTAGAATTTTCTGTTAAATTTAAATGATGGTCTGCCCTGGTAAAACGTTGTGAATTGCCAAATAACACAATGTGGGTCATTACTTGCAGATACTGTTGAGAAAGTGCGAAGATATGAATGAAGTGATGGACGTGCTGGAAGAAAAAGGTAAATATAGCGGCATAATTTACAGTGCTGGTTAAACTAATTTGCTTAAATATGTAGCACACCTATTTGTTGAAAAACTGTTAAGTGAAGGGGCAGCAACTCCATGCGACGACACTGCAGACTCTTTCAACCAAAATGCTGATTTGCCGCCGTTTTATGACGAAGAGTTGTTTAAAAGGTAAACATTCTTTGTATCGCAGAATTCGTCTTGGCATTGGTGTAATTGCGGAATAATTTTGGAGAAACTAATTTTAACTTCTTATAGATTAGAGGCGTGATAAACGGTTATTTTTCTGTAACGGGTTACAACGTTCCAGCTTTATCTTGGTAATAGGTTGGTAGGTAAATGCCGGCCCGCCTTTAGAACATTTCGAGGTAACAACGGAGCCCAATTTAAACACGGCTATTTCACTCAAATCTAGGCAAAAGCTGATTTTTTCGAAGATTTTCTTCCTTTTTGTTTTTGTAAGTTCAAAAAATATATAAACTAATTTGTACTAGAGGGGTGATAAACGGTTATTTTTCTGTAACGTGTTACAACGTTGCAGTTGCAACTTGGTAATAGGTTTCAAAACGCGGTTCCAAAAGGAATATGTTACTTTTTAAATTTTTCATTAAAAATGCAGAATGATGATCATAGCAGAAATAGTGATGATTTCATTTGAGAATGATTTCCTTTATTAAAACCCATATTCTCAACATTGGTAAACTTAAAATAAAATATTCTGAAATCAGAAACAGAATATGGGTCAGAAGTAACTACTTAAAGAACAAACAAACTGATAATAATAAAACTAGAGTGATTAAATAAAATATACAAAATATACGGTTTATATGCGAAAAGGTTTAAAAATCTCATTTTCATTTAAAAATGAATTAACATTTAAGAATACATTTTTTTGCAGATACTTTTTACTGATTCTGGTTCTTCGCGCGTTTACGATGGCACCTGAAATAATAACCTCTCGCATTTCGTTTCACAATAACACTAAATAATCCGTAAGGTTAGACGTTTGGAACACTGTTATTTTAGCGATTACGTTAAATACCGACCATCCCTATTATAGGTGCCTACGCTGTGGAACCATTGGTGTATAGTTGTTGATGAGGACTGCTAGTGGAAAAACAAAATTTAAAACTTAATTACCTAATTAACTGTTCTATTAATATGGTATGGCACAATTTTATATTTTTTGCTAAATTTTGAATTGATATTAAAGTTATCATTAAAGTTTCGTTAGCAAGTTCACGGTTTGCAGAACGAATTTTTAAAACGTATGTACGTACTTATGAAGATTACATCCGGCTATTGCGAATGAGAAAATATATAAAATATTAAGTGGATCATAAGGAGCTAAATCGATAAACTAGTTTAACAAAATAATAAGATAAGATTGGCATTAAGAAAGTGTACCTGCCTACTCGACTAAAATCTGCTTGTGGGTCTCTGCCTCTATTATTACAGGGTGTTAGTTTGTATCTACTAATTGATTTAAATAACTTCATGCAATTTTTCTGCGGCTAACATTGACTTTAGAACTGTGTGCGTATGTTTAGAAAAATAAATAAATTCATTTGAAAATATAACAAAAAGGGCAATTGTGGATGACAAATTTATTAGCCACAGATCTACTCCTGCTATCAGATGATTAATGTGTCCTTCGTCATTAAAACATCGCGCCATGTCGAGTAACAAAATTAAACTTTGAGCCATACACCTAAACGATTACAATTGGTTAAACTGAATTTCTCTCCGTTTGAATTTAAGGAAAAATTATGAGAAAACTAGTACATACAAAATCCCCAAAACATTCCGATTGTTTCTCTTGTTTTTACGTAAATGGGTAGCCTTAACCGTGTTCTATTTAAGCAGGATGATTCTGGATGTGCCAATTTATCCATATCAATATAATTCATGGGATAAACTTTGATTTCACCGTTTCCCGTATTCGTTTGTTGTCACGTATTGATTGACTCCAAAGATCAATTTTGATCGTCTACAACTGTTCGGACTGGGGTCCGTGTAGGGTGCTTCTCTTTATAAGAGTAATAATTATTTTCTTATGTTTTGGACTTCGATATGTCTCAGACCAGACTTGAGTTTGCCAGCTCGAAAGGTCCGGTCTTTCTTATTTTTCAAACAGTTGGCATATCATGTTTCCAACTTGCGCTCATCTTGGACTGTAACAGTTCACTTACGATACGATAACCATTCAGGTAATTATTTATGATAATTTTTTTTCTAGGGGACAAGCGTTTTATCATAGAAACATTTTTGCACTATTCACTGCAAAACTTTTTGGGCTCATAGCGGTCTTGTCGATACCGAGCATTTTACAAATTTTGAAACATACCAAAATGTCTGGAACAAATATGACTGCTTACAGAAGATATGTGGCAACGATATTTCATATGAATATCTGGTATGATGCAGAGTTTAAACCTGGTTCAAAGTAAGTAGTTTGCATAATCTATTTAAAAACTGTACGGGATGCCCAATTAGGACATGATCCAAATTGTACTGCGATATTTTTTGACTAGAAAAAACGATCTGATTTCAATTAATATAAAGAGCCAAAATCTCCACAAAGGAGTAATACATCAGTACAAAGAAAGTTATTCGGTTACAAAGTAAAAAATTATGCTGACCAAACGAGATTGAGTTTCGCGCTCATGCCTTGAAACCGGCGAAGGATCATCGTCGGATGAGTCGAACGTAGAAATAAATCCACAGCAAGTTTCATTAAAATCGATTGTAACAATTTCTCGACGTTACAATAAACGTAACTTTTTTGAGGAACTTTGGCTGTAAATTGAAGAAGATCCAGACAGCTTTTTTAAAGCAAAGTTGTGCCTTAACAAAGAATGTCGCAGTACCATTTTGATTATGTGCTTACAGGACACTCTGTACATGAATGTCCTCGCTATTTCAAGTTACTTTCGTCTTCCAGTACTAATACCATCATTCCTGCGCTTAAATAATACTTTTCCTGCAATATCTGAATTATATTTTATACAAACACTACAAAACGTGCTTGGTGCCTGTTAATAGACTGTGGCAGTCGATTAAGGAAGTAAAAAATCTCCACAACTCGGCGAGCAATAGAGGGTGCAAAGCGGGGCTTCACAGAATATCTCAAAAAGATATGGTACTGACCCAGTTCGGATTTATGGGATTTCAACTAACACGTGAGAAAATGTTGGGAGTTCACAATGCCACACCTGAAGAGTGGATGGCTTTCATTCATGTGTGGAGGGTTGTAGGACATATGTTGGGGATAGAAGACAGGTAAAATATTTACGTTATTTCACCTGTATGATGTCAGTAAAGAATTTTTCAAATAACGAATTAGCTTGATTTTTTTTTTATTTTTAGATTCAATATTTGCAACGGGTCTGTTGCTGAAGTGAAAGCCAGATGCGAAAAGTTAATTCAACAAGTGTTCATTCCGCACATCAAGAAAAATGATCCTGAATTTCTACAAATGTCCCGATATTTAGTCAATGGTTTATGGGCGATAAATCCCATATTAAATTTTAACGCTGTTATGTGCTCAATGCAGTTCTTACTTGCTAACAAAATTAATTATGACTCTATGGAATATAAAAAACTACATTTTTGGGAAAAATTGTTGCTCGTCTTTATTGCATTTGTACTGTTTAGTTTGAGATGGGCTCCATTTAGATGGTACCACAATAGCTCCAAATATCGAGACTTTTGGTTAATGGAACATTTTCCGTTTCTGGGATATTATAAATATGGATTCAAGAACGCTCATGTTAAAATTCTGGGAAAGGATATGTAATGTATTATTATCATATAACTGTACATAAAATATTTTATAATGTTCTTTTATAAATGTTGTAATATTATCAATAAATATTGTAATTTTTTTGGTGCTGTCTAGAAAATCTTATCAGCCAGTATTGAAAAGTAGGTAACTACAGGGTGATTCAAAATT